GTCTACCAAGGAAGTCATTAGCAACTCAGTGCCCAGGGTTTTTACTGGGGGTACCCTCTGCTTTGCACATATTAAAATTTCAGATTCCCAGAAGCAAAACAGGTGGTTCATATAAACCATATTGTTCATACAAAGGATTTAGGCATTTTTATCATTTGGGGAAAGTTTTATTTTGATGTAAGAGAACTGTTTACCATGCAAATTCCCAACCCTAGACAAGGGCCAAGCTTGCAAGCAGGCCTTCCTAAGGATAGCTGTGTTAGGCCTACTATGTTCTCTTTTTAGCATAGCCACACCTAGATGCAAAGGAGGGTGGGAAATGTAGCCTCTAGATGGGCAGATATGTGCCTATTATTACTATAGAAGAAGTGGAGAATAAATCTGAAAGGATAACTAGCAGTCTGCTATGGAATTTTCAAACTTTGTGACTGTACAAGTTTTTTAGCCTCTCTGCTCCCTTAGTTAATACATATGCCTTGGAAATAACATATATTGAACCACACCTGGCACACAGTAAGTGCTCAGTAGTAGCTATATCATCACCATCATCATCATCATTATTAATATTTTCTTACAGCACGTGGGCATGTTTGGGGGTTGGTTTATCTCTTCCTTCCTATCCTTAATCCAGCAGAAACTATGGAATTGTTATCAGCAGTGAAATCTGTCCTGTTGCCTCTCTGTTGGCTTTCTTGCTTATAAAGTTTTTGGTTTATATGCATAGTGAAACCTAAGTGGCCTCAAGCCTCTAGCATTTGGGGATAATCCTTTCCTTTAGCATCCAAATTCAGTAGCCAATATAATAGTGTCTCCATCCAAAGCTGACTACAGGAATTTCAAATCTCTCCCAAATCTCTCTGAATATTCTTGATTTTCTTGGTGGGGTCTTACATGTCCTGGATGTTGCCTGTCACTTCTCACATTGAAGTCTTACCTTTGGTTTCTCCTTGATCACGTTTTGAAGTTTCGTCTCTGAATCTTACTGTGGTTTCAACCATCCTTTGTCCATTTTGCCCCCAAATGTGGACATGAACCTTCCTTCATTTTTCAGAGTTGGGTTAGCACTCGGCTAACAGGTATTTGTTTTGTGCTGGTGAACAAAGCTTATGGACCTTTTCTGAGTAAGGGAGAAGATAAATTAAAATTGGCTATTTGCAGTGTCTGAAGTTTCTAGGACACATTTGCCACAAGGAGCTCCTTATTGTCTTCTCTCTCTCTCTGTTTTTTTTTTTGTTGTTGTTTTTGTTTTGTTTTTTGGGGTTTTTTTGCCTTTCACCTCCCTGGTACTGTCTGCCCTGTTGCTGGGACCTGCTGCCGCAGAGAACTGGATCTGTTCTAGATCTCCTCCCTGCCTCTGGAGCCCAACCTCCTGACCCCATGCCACCAGAAAAAAACTGAAAAATCCCTCAACATTTAAAAAACAAAAGCAGGCAAATTAAAAACAAAAAACCAAACAAACAAAAAAAACCCCCAAACCCAAATGAAAAACTCTTTCCAAGAAAGTTGCTCTTTATCTTTTGGTTATATTAGAAATTTTATTTCATCTATCCACTATGCTCTTTCATGACTCGGACCCTACTACTTCAGCTTCGTTTCTACTATTTGTGATTCAGCCATTTAGGATTTCTTCAGTTCCTCTGACATGTTCTCCTTTGCCTCCAAGCCTTTGCAACTACTCTCCTCACCAGGTGGCACACCTCTCCTGCCTTCCCAACTGGCTGAATCCTACACATTCTTTTCACATAAGCATCAATGTCATTTCTGCTGGAATCCTTTCCCCAGCCCTCTACCTTAGATTCAACTCTCCTACTACGTGCTGCCATAGTACCTATATTAGTTTCCTAGGGCTGCTGTAACTAAGCTGCGTGACTTAAAATAACAGGAATTTATCCTCTTACTGTTCTGGAGGCTGGAAGTCTGAAGTCAAGGTGTCAGGAAAGCCATGCTCCCTCTGAAACCTACAGGGGAGGATCCTCCCTTGCCTCTTCCTACCTCTGGTAATTGTCGGCAGTCCTTGGTATTCCTTGGCTGATAGATGCATCTCTATCTGCAATATCTATCTGTCTTCCCTTGAACTTCTTCCCATGTGTCCACCCTAATGACCTCATCTTATCTTTATTAATTTAAATTTTTAAATAAATAAACACATGA